AGGATACCAAACTGAGGATAGTTAAAAATATTTCCAAATAATATTTATGGCTATGGACAGAGGAATCCTAATGCATGGAATTATTAAAAAGGAAAGTTGGGCAAGGATCCTGGAAATTTGCTGTTCTGCTTTGCTCTGCTTTTATTGGGGTTGCTGGGGGTGAGACCGAGGAAAAGCTGGGTGATTTAAGAAATTAGAAAGTGGTTAAAAAATTGAGACTCAAATATCTTGGAATTGTAGGGGTCTTCGTGGAAGAAAAATACCTCCCAATATTGCTTACCAAAAATTGAAAGTAAATCTGTTCTTGCGCAATGACCCAAATATTATAAAGTTGAAAAAGAAAACAACTATCAAGGAAATTCTAGCAAGACTCTTGGTATTAGCTGAATTATTTGAATAATAGAGGTGAAAGCGGAGCTTCTGCCTGGATTATTCAGAAAACTGTGTTGATTTTAAACTTCACTTGGCTGATGAAGACTTTAGACAGAACGTATTTTTAGAATGCTAAATGCTAACCAGTTGACTCTTAAATTAAGCAGAGCTATGGGGAGGGAGATAGAATAAGTAGTTGATTGTCAGAATAAGATTAAACTTTTCTATTGATGATAACCAACATCCACGTTTTCATCATATGTAGAATGAACGTTTTAGAATAAAGGTAAATATACATGTAGATTTCAAATATAACCCATGGTCTTTTTTAAAAGTTTTAAATTCCCCTTTAAGCTTCAAAAAAGAAAGAACTCAGTGCCTTCAAAACCAGCCATCTAATTTATATACTCAAGCAAATTGACTTGAATATCATGCTGTATTTTCTTGCTTCTTATTGTTGATCTTTGCCTTTTAATTCCTGAAGACAGAGAATAATAAGAATGATGGTGTCCTAGTTGCCACTCCATTCTTTTCTTTGGTAAGAGGATCCTGGGCACTGGGCCCAGCCCCAAAATGATTTGCCAGCTTCTCCTTCAGCTAAGTGTGTCATGTGACTAAGCTCTGGCCTGTAAGGGGAAGTAATGTATGAGCCTTCTGGGTAGGACCTTTTTGTCTGGATTCTTTCTGATACACAAGGTAGACAAGATGCCTAGACTTCTAAAAGCCATGTCAGGCCAGGGGGCAAAATTAAGAATGGAAGCTTCATATTAGAATAGTGAAAGATGAAGGTAGCAGCAACCTGAGTCTATGATGACTGGGGATCCTATACCTTCTCTGGGATAGTCCCTGTGCATTTCTTTTACTTGAGAGTAATCATGTGGATCTTGTTCAAGACACTATTATTTCCAGGGGCTGTTACTAGCAGGTGAACACAATTTCTAAATGTCACACATATTAAGTATAGTGTTAATTGAAAATATTTTGGAATTTTAGGGTTACATTTCTAGATAAGTATAATGGCTTCTCTCTCTCTCTCTCTCTCACACACACACTCCAATTTGTCTGAAAGAAAACTAAGGGGCTACATGAAGTTGTGCGGGGAATATATTTTGTGTGACTGTGAAGGATAACCCTTTTGCAATAGAACTTGGGAAAATAGGCACTTGAGCATTACTTAAGAATTTTTCAATGTGAATAGATGTACTAAAAAAAGAAAAACAGTAGAGACGAAGGAAGGAAAATACAGAAGTGAAATCCAGCACTAGAATATTCATAGCTATTTTTTCTTTACCTTTTGCAGATTTTGCTAAGGTAAGTACATTGTTAACAGCAAGCCAGGGAGGAAAGATCAATCTATAGAATAGTCAGAAGAAGTGATAAGGTTTAATCATTTTCTGCTCTTCAGAAGTTGCCCCAATTCCTTCCATCTTTTCAAATCCAGATCTTCTATGAAGCCTTCACTGATGCCCCAGTAGGAATTAACCTCTGCTCTTTCTGCATTTATCAGGACTAAGACTAAGCTACAGTGCGTGAGGCATTTGTCTTGAACACAAAATTTAAAGTGGTGCTCAAAAGTTCAATAGTCAAGATATATATTTAATGGAATATTTTAATTGGCACGCTAAGACATGCAGGCCGGTCTCCTATTTTTGTAAATAGTTTTTAACTATGTAATATTTTGCTTTTATCTCTATTACAGCACTGAAATCGTGCTTTTTATGGCAGTCCTTTCCCAACAGGGCCGTACTCATCTTGGTATTCTTCATATGCCTACTCCTCTGTTTGAAGCATAAAGGCCTCTTTAAAAACATTGACTCGGCTCGGCGCCTATAGCTCAACCGGCTAAGGCGCCAGCCACGTACACCTAAGGTGGCGGGTTCGAATCCCTAGCCCGGACCCGCCAAACAACAATGATGGCTGCAACCGAAAAATAGCCAGGCGTTGTGGTGGGCGCCTGTGGTCCCAGCTACTTGGGAGGCGGAGGCAGGAGACTCGCTTGAGCCCAGGAGTTGGAGGTTGCTGTGAGCTATGCCACGGCACTCTACCCAGGGGGATAGCTTGAGGCTCTGTCTCAAAAAAAAAAAAAAAAAAAATTGACTCGAGGTGGCGCCTGTGGCTCAGTGGGTAGGGCACCGCCCCCATTATACCAGAGGGTGGCGGGTTCAAACCTGGCCTTGGCCAAACTGCAACGAAAAAATAGTCAGGCGTTGTGGCGGGAGCCTGGAAACTGAAGCAAGAGAATTACCTAAGCCCAAGAGCTGGAGTTTGCTGTGAGCTGTGACGCCACAGCACTCTACTGAGGGGGACAGAGTGAGAAGAAAAATAGATAAGTTGACTAAACGATTTTCCCAAGAATATATTGTAGTAGGGATAGTGGGGTTTAATTTTCATTGTTAAATTCAATTACAGCGAAAGAATGACGGAGAATAATGACTATTTTGAAAGTACTTGAACTCAGTGCTGTGGGAAAATCACTTAGATTCTCTCTGACGGAAGCCCTGCCTGGCCTGGAGAGATAGGGAGTTGTAATACAACTTTGTGTTTGGACGGCACTTTCTCCTAAATACAATTCTCTCTCTTCATGCTCACCACCTTCCTGCCAGGTAGATAAGTTATCGTGAATTCCCACAGAGAGCCTGAGGAGCAAAGCGATTTGCCGAGGGAGTTAGGCAGAGAGCGGCACAACTGCGGCTCTACCCGGGATTTTGCTGGAGGCTGGCGCGGGGCTCCCGCGGTGATCCCGGGGCTCCGGGAGGCAGAGGAGGCAGCGGGTCGCCTGCGCTCAGGGACAGACTGAACCAGAGCCGGACCCCGTCTCTACTAAAAAGTGAAACCAACTGAGGCCCGGGGATTGTTTGAGCCCAAGAACTTGCGGTTGCTGTGAGCTGTGATGCCACCGTACTCTAGTCACGGCGCCAGAGTGAGACTCTCTCTCAAAAAAAAAAAAAAAAAAAAATCAAACACACGCCTCAGGGTTGAATGAAAAACGATTTATACAGCGACTACAGTGACTTCTTCTGTGTTTATGAAATAACGTAGGTGGCATCCTGAGCGCAATATTTTATTTATTTATTTATTGACAGAGTCTCACATGTCGCCCTAGGTAGAGTGCCTTGACATCACAGCTCACAGCAACCTCCAACTCTTGGGCTTAGGCGATTCTCTTGCCTCAGCCTCTGGAGTAAGTTGGACTACAGGTGCCCGCCACAACGCCCGGCTATTTTTAGAGAGAGGGGGGATCTCTCTTTCTCTCTCTCTCTCTGGCTCAGGCTGGTCTCGAACCTGTGAGCTCTGGCAATCCACCACCTCGGCCTTCCAGAGTGCTGGGATCATAGGCTTGAGCCACCGGGACTGGCCCTAAGTCCAATATTCATCAGGAATTCTTAAGTTCAGATTAAAATGTTCTTAGTGTGTGTGTACGTTTGATGAAGTAGCTCAACCTTTCAGGCATAGGATTGAATATTTTATGGCATTTTTTGGTAGAGGGTAGGAATTTACATATTGAAATGCCGAAGAATGGGGGAAATTGAGGAAAGTATGCAGTGTTTGAGTAGTACTTTCAAACTACAACTTTACCACTAATGTGTGTGCCATGTTCTGCACAGCACGTAAACCCCATATGTTTGCTTCTTTATGAAAAGAAGCGTTTGAACTTTTCAGCTGAAAAAGGTTATTTCAGTGTGAAATATTGTATTACTCAAGGGTTAGGAGTTGATTAAATTTTATGGGTTTCTTTTTCACACATCGGGAAAAAAATCTATTACTATTTTTTAAAACTCCATATGGCAATTAAATTTATTTGAGAGCTTCTGTTTCACGTATTATTTCCACCAGTATGTTATAAACATATACCCAGAACCCAAACGTCCATTTCTAGCCAATCTAGAAGATGTCTTACGAAAATTATAAATTTCTCCCATTGATTGCTGCCCAGAGAATTGTTATAACAAAAAGCTTCAATTTTCTTTTACTAAGCTGATAGTTCAGTATCAAGAAAATCCTCACTCCTTAAGAACAACCAATTCTTAAAGAAATTCGAAGCCATTCAATTTGGTGAATTGCAATCAATCATCAATAACTGTTTATTGAATATCCACAGGGTGCCTAGGCATTGAAGCGGTAGGCGATCGATCGTTCAAAGGTTTTCTAAGGGGAGCCTGAAGATCTGCAGACGTCTTTAAAGAAGCAAACTGCTGTGTGCTCCTCTAACTTAAATTGTCCCTACCTGGAAAGAATTGAATAGTCTGGGATTCAGAGTTCCAGATTTTCTAATCCTGCTTTGTAAGCGAAGACCCCATTGGGTGCCAAGCGACAGGAGGTATGGTGGTCAGAACCTGGTACCACCAAAGGGCTGCAAGATGGGAAAGCCCTCCCAGGCAGGTGCAGGGCGGACTGCAGTCACTGTGGCCCTGACCCCGGCCTCCCTGTCTCCCCTCCCCCACCCATCCCCCCCACCCGCACACACCATCTCCCAGTCGCCCAGCCTCGACCGGTTCTCGCGAGATCCGGGCAAGTGAGCGCTCGGGGCCTTTTCAAATCGGGATCCGTTACCGCTTTCCCGGCCGCCGCCATTGTCGCGCTCGGAGCCCCTCAGCGCAGGCGGCCAAGGCGTAGGCAGCGGCTGCGGGATGGCGGACGCCGACAAGCCCGAGGTACCCGGGGCTACTGGCAAAGACAGCCCGCATCAGCAGTCCGCGGAGCCGCCGGGCGAGTCGCGGCGAGAACCGCACCCCCCGGAGGCGGAGAAGCAGCAGCCGCAGCCGCTCGGCAGCAGCTCCAATGGCGTTAAAATGTATTGTCTTTTCCACCGGGGATGGGGCGAGGTTGGGGGCGGGGGGCGGCCGGGGGACGGGAGGCGGGCTAGGCCTTGACAGGGACAGCAGCCCCTCAGGCCAAAGCCCTCGGCCGCGTGAGGAGCAGGTGCAGCCGGGCGACTCCTGGGCCCTCCCCTCTCGCCTTGGGCCGGTCCGCCTTTGGCCCGGCGAGTCCGGGCGGAGGGTCGGGGGGTCAGAGGGCCGGCCCTCCGGCGCGATTTCTGGGCCGAAGCCTCTGGACGCCCCACTCTTCCCTGCCTTCAGCTGGAGAACCTTTGAGCAAAGCCTGGCGACAGCCACGGTTTGCAGGAAAATGGTCCCCCTCTTAAGGGCCAGTGGTTAGTGTTCATCACTAGGGAGTATCTAGGGATGACATCATCGACATTTCCTCTTAACCACCGAGAACGCATTTAAAAGGAATATCCCTGGCCTTATTTTGAGCTTCACAAGTTCAGTGTGTTGTTATTTTCTTTCTTTTTTCTTAAATCATCGCTGTGTACGTTAATGCAATCATGGGGTACAGTGTGGTGTTTTCATATACAATTTGAAATATTTTCATCAAACTGGTTAACATAGCCTTCATCGCAGTTTCTTAGTTATTATGTTAAGACATGTATATTCTACATTTAGTAAGTTTCACATGTACCCTTGTAGGATGCACTGTAGGTGTGGTTCCACCAATTAAGTGTATGTTCATTTTTGAACTGATACGGAAAGGAAGTTTAATAAGGTGCTGTTAGATTTAATCTATTGTGTTACCCATAAATTGCTAGACTTTATTCATTAGTTTTTAAAAGGGAATGTGCGGTTTACATCGCTTTTCCACCCACTCAGTAATAATTTTCAGCTGTGCAAGCTGTTTATAAACTCAGGTTCTGATGGTCTTAATTTGGTATAATGATAATATAAGTTTTTTTTTTTTTTAAATTGAAGAAAGCCCATTTTGAGGTTGGAGCTGTCATCGGTGCCTATAAAGAATTTAGTTGACGCAAATCCATAATAATTTATAGTTCCAGGGAAATGGTACATGGAAATATTATATACTCCGTTGTCCCTGTCATGACATGAAGTCAAGCACTTAATTTCCTATGCCTGGCTCTTTAAACCTGAAGTTGGAAGTTTGTTAGTTTAGTGAAAACATCCTTTTCCTTCTCTGTTATACCTCAGAGTGGAAAGCAGTAAACATGGGCTCACATGAAAATAGGCAAGGAAAACGACTTTCCGACTTTTCTCTTGTGTAAAAGTGTTTGAAACAGTACAGTAAGATCTGGACCATTCTGTGGAAGGGTTGATTGCAGATGAAAAGGGGGTAACTACAGCTGCATTATGCCACTACTCTCAAATGGGTTCGAATAAGGTAGGTAGCATCTTTGAGAACTCACAGAATTTGTTCCTGGATGGAAAGTGGTATACCCAGTAATTGAGGAACCACAAAGTGAGTGAGGCACTTTATACCGGGCCTGCCACAGTGTGGGCTTTCAGGGATTATATTTGGCATTAAATATAGAAATGAAAAACCATGACATGATGACCTTAAAATTACGTGCTGTTAGTTCATGTCTAACCGTGGACATACATGCCCAGCCTTGAATTACCTGTTACACTTGGATATGATTAGTGTGATAATATTGGTACAGGTGAAGCTGGTATTTAAATCTACATCAGATCTAAAAGTCCACTCCCATTAAAAATCTCATTATGGTTTAGCGAGACAGGGAAAGATGGAGGAGAGAGGTATGGGAAGAATCCTTGTCTAATTTGGGAAGAGAAAAATATAAGGTGAAGAAATTAAGAAATATTACAAGTAAATATAGATTCTTTCCATATTGCTTATAATTTATCTGTCTTTGCTCTGTTTCCAGAAGTTGAGTAGAGGCTAGTTTATTCTCAGGGATTTCTTGTACTGTCAGTTTTGTAAAAACATACAACGTATGATGATCGTCCGGCATAGGTGATTCACACTGAATATACAAGGGACCTAAACCTTTCTGATTCTGTGAACTAGTCATTAACTAGGAATTAGTTAACAACACCAACACATAAGCTTGAATTGATTAGCTTGTTTTCAATGATAAGAATTCATTGTTGATGGTAAAAATAACCAAATATTGCCCTAAAATATATATTGCTTAGAAGTGAACAGAGTACTGCTTGTCATAAGGATTGAAATGCCTTTTGCTTAGATTAATCCCATTGAGGATGAGAGACGACTGTTCGTCTCAAAGCCACTTTTTAAAAAGGCCCAGTATTTGTTGAAGAAATGTAAACGTGAACTTTTATGATTGTGAAACTCATATACAGTGAACTTAGTTGGCACGCTCACATCTTTAGGGAGGAAATGTAAAGATGTGTTTTTCTAGATCTAATCTTTTCCTTTATGTCAAAATGCTCCACTAGCTCCGCTTTTTAAAAAAGTGAATAGGAAGGAAAGCAGCAATCCTCTTGTAATGAATATTCATGTATTTAAGTAACACTTTACTGTATATGGAGTTTGACAGTTATAGTACAGCACTTACAAAATACTAAGCATTGGAGCAAGGTGAAGTGTTCCCTACTAGAGTAGTAACTTTTCTTATATTAGGAGTAAAGACTGAAACTAGCTTTAATTTGCCCCTAGTTATACCCAACTGAGGTATAATTGACAAGTAATTATTTGTATTTAAGGTGTACAATGTGATGTTTTGATATATGAATGAATACATTGTGAAATGATTACCATAATCAAGCTAATTAATGCGTGCATCGCTTTGTATAGTTACTATTTTTTTGTAGTAAGAATACTTCGGATCTACTCTTAACAAATTTCAAGTATACAGTAAGTACATCATTATTTACTATAGCCACTACAACTATACATTAGATCTATAGAACTTATTTATCTTATAACAGAATTTGGACCCTTAGAACAGCGTATCTTCCTGCCTCTTCTGTTAAAGACCCTTCTACTCTCTGCTTCTATGAGTTTGACATGTTTGATTACACATGGACATGAGATCATGTGGTGTTTGTCTGTGTCTAGCTTACTTCACTTAGCATGGTGTCCTTCAGGCTCATCCATATTGTTGCAAATGGCAAGAATCCCCTGTTTTTGAAGGCTGTGTGTGTATGTATATATATCCATATGCATGCTTTATTATTTCATCTGTAAATGCTTAGATTGTTTCCTTATCTTAGAAATGGTGCAGTGAACATGGGAATACAGGTATCTCTTTGTTTGTATGGTAGCTCTATTTTTAATGTTTTGAGGAAACTATTATATTTAATTGCTTTGTAGGATTCTCCTTTTCCCACATCCTCACTGATACTATCTTTTGACTTTTGGATTATATCTTAACAAGTGTGAAGTGATATCTCATTGTGGTTTTGAGTTGCATTTCTCTGATGATAAGTAATGTTAAGTACTTTTGCATATACCTGTTGGCCATTTGCATGTCATCTGTGGAACATCTATTCAGGTCTTTTTCTCATTTTTTAATCAGTTTTTTTTTTTAGCTATGGTTTCTTATATATTTTTAATATTAACCCCTTATCATATATATGATTTGCAAATATTTTCTCCCGTTCTTGAGGTTGGCTTTTCATTCTGTTTATTGGTTCCTTTGCTGTGGAGTAACTTTTTACTTTGCTATAGTCTCAGACGTTATTTTTATTTTTGTTGCCTGTGCTTTTCATGTCATATAAAAAAAAAAATCATTGCCAAGACCAATGTTGTGGAACATTTTCCTGTGTTTTCTTGTAGGAGCTATATTGTTTCAAATGTGATGTTTAAGTCTTTAATCTATTTTGGGTTGATTTTTGTGTGTGTTGTAAGCTAAGGATCAAATTTCATTTTTTTTTGAAATTTGTTGAAGAGACCCTCCTTTTTTCATTGTGTATTCTTGGCACAATCTTAAATCTTGCTTAAGATCAATTTACCATGTACATATAGATATATTTCTAGACTTTCTATTCTGTTCCATTGGTTTGCTTGTCTTTTTATTCCAGTGTCATACTGTTTTGATTACTATAGACTTGTGATATAATTTGAAATAAGGAAGCGTGATGCATCCAGCTTTGTTGTTTTTGTTTAAGGTTGCTTTTGCTACTTGAAGTCTTTTGTGGTTTCATATGAATTATAGGATTATTTTTGCTATTTCTATGAAAAATTCTATTGAAATTTTGATAGGAATTGCATTAAATCCTAAATCTTCTTGAGTAGTAGGGGTATTTTGACAGTTTAAATTCTGATCTGTGAACTTGGGATCTTTCCATTTATTTGTATTACTTTCAATTTCCTTAGTGTTTTATAGTTTTCTGTGTACAAATCTTTTACTTCCTTGTGTAAATTTATTCCTAGGTATTTTATTATTTTGATGCTATTGTAAATGGGCTTGTGTTCCTAATTTCTTTTTGGATTGTTTGTTGTTAGTGTATAGAAACACAACTAATTTTTGAATGTTGATTTTGTGTCCTGTTACTACTGAATTCATTTGTTTTAATGGTTTATTTTGGTGCAGTCTTTAAAGTTTTCTATATATGAGATTATGTCATCTGAAAACAGGTAATTTTACTTCTTCCTTTCCAGTTTGGAAGCCTTTTATTTCCTTTTCTTGCTCTCACTGTGCCTTCCAGTAGTTGTTGAATAGAAGTGGTGAGAGCAGGTGTCTTGTTCCTGCTCTTAGAGGAAAGCTATCAACTTTTCACTATTGTCATGTCAGCTGTGTGGGCTTGTTATAAAATGACCTTTATTATGTTAAGGAACATTTCTTCTATACGTAATTTGTTGGAAGTTTTTATCATGAAGGGATGTTGAATTTTCCCAAATGCATTTTCTGCATCTATTGAGATGATGATTTCCTTTTTTATCCTTCATTCTCTTAATATGGTATATCATATTTATTGACTTAGATATTCATCCTTGTATCCTTAGGGTAAATACCACTTGATCATGGTTTATAATCCTTTTTAAATATGTTGTGGAATCACGTTCAGTTATTTGGAAGAAGTTTGAGAAGGATTGGTATTGTTCTTTAATATTTGGTGGAATTTACCAGTGAAGCCATCAAGTCTTGGGCTTTTCTTTGTTGTAACATTTTTGATTACTGATTTAGTCTCCTCTCCCATTATCTGTTCAGATTTTCTATTTCTTCATAATTCAGATTTGGTGAATTGTATGTATTTAGGAATTTATTCATTTTTTCTGAGTTATACATTTTGTTGGCATGTAATTGTTCACAGCAGTCTCCTATGATCCTTTACATTTTTTTGGTGTTGATTATAATGTTTCCTCTTTCATTTCTTATTTTTCTCTTTTTTTTTTTTTGGAGACAGGAGCCTCCAGCTGTCCCCTGGATAAGGTGCTGTGGCATCACAGCTCACAGCAACCTCCAACTCCTGAGCTCAAGCGAGTCACCTGCCTCAACCTCCCGAGTAGCTGGGACCACATGCGCCCACCACAATGCCTGGCTAATTTTTGGTTGCAACCATCATTGTTGCTTGGTGGGCCTGGGCTGGATTCAAACCCACCAGCTCAGGTGTATGTGGCTGGCACCTTGGCCACTTGAGCCACAGGCGCCGAGCTTCTCTTTTTTTTTCTTTAGACTAGCTTAATCTTTGTCAATTTTGTTTATCTTTTCAAAAAGCAACTCTGAGTTTTGTTAATCTTTTTTATTTTTTTTCTGGTGTATTTCATTTTTTTCCTCTGATCCTTGTTTTCTTCTTTCTACTAACTTCTGGCTTAATTAGTTTTTCTAGTTCTTTGAGATGTAAAGTTAGGTTGTTTGAGATCTCTTTCTTTTTTTCTAATGTAGGCATTTACTACTTTGAACTTCTGTTAGTTTTCCCCAGCAACTGGATTAATTTTGGATTTCATACTATACCCTTATGCTTTTTAAGCCATACATTAAAATTGTTCCTTCATTTGATTTAGATATTGATTTTTCCAGATATTTATGTTATAATTTGGGTAGGCATAATTCAGTCTTAAGAGTAGATAACATTTTTGTGACTTTTCTAGAGTCTTAAAATATCGGGAAGATTGCCTAAATGAATAGTTTGTGAATTAGTGGATATAGTGCCAATATTTTTGTATTATGTAGTATCATTTCCTTAAGACTTTTCACGTAATTTTTACCTTCTCTCCTATAGTATATTTATGACACAGAAATAGTTCAGAAATTGTGTAAATATGGCTTAGTTTCTTAATAGATTATCCTTCTAGTTTCAGAACTGATATGCCTTCCATAAATAATCTCCGTTTATACACTGTAAATGAGCAGTTTAGCAGTATTTTTTAAGATGTTACTAATTGAGGAAGATTTGAAAAGATTGCTCTCTGGTCATCATTTGAGTAAATATTTTAAAGGAGAGAGATATATATATATATATATTTACATCATTTGAGTAAATATTTTAAAGGAGATAATATGTATATTTACATCATTTGAGTAAATATTCTAAAGGATATATATATATAACTACTTTTTAATGGAATTGTCAGATCATTGTAAGCAAATGTTTACAGCATCCCATGTAATCCCCACTCAGGTCAAGACTAGAACATCATGAGTACTTCAGAACTTTGTGTAGTTTTCACAATCGGTTTCATCAAAGAAGAAAATAGGCAGAGGAAGGGATATTTATCTAGAGACTGTATAGGTAGCTGCTTACCTGAATAGAGAGTTATTTTTACAAGCATTCATTGAATTTAGCCTAACTCTATTATGTAAATAGGTCCTTTGGGGGATTAAAAAGAAGGGTTCTTGTATCTGTTGTACCCAGAAACAAGAGAAAAAGCCTCTGTGCTTGCTGCCATTTTGGAAGTGCTGCTTTGTTCTCGGATAGGTGGGTACTTTATAGAGTTGAACACTTGAGACTTGGATGACTTCTATGCCAGCCTGTTTCTGATGAGGGGATGATGTATTTGATAGTGAAGATGTCCCTGTCAGGGTCTGAAAAGGTAGCAAAGCAAGTTTGGCTCTAATATCTTTTTATTGTAGTAGCTTTTCTGGCAGACAGTGGCAACTTGATGAGCATGGATTTAGAATTGACTGTTCATTCATCAAAAATTACTAATTGTCCAGCACATACCATATGCACTTACCATGCTAATTGCTGCTGATGCCAAAGCAGACAATTTTTCTTCTTATAGAGTTTATGTACTGTATTTATGGCTGTGTTGTTACCTGCTCAAATGAGCAGTATCTAAGAAATTTACCATGTTGTGTAACAAGTGACTGCTGTTAGTAGCACTGCCATGTACAGACCCCCAGAAATGTTTGGCTTAAAAGATAACTTAAAGCTGGGGTTAGGAAACTTACTTGATTGTTGGAATATTCTAGGAAGCTTAAGATTCCTGGGTGTCATTCCTGAAGATTTTTTTTTGAGACAGAGTCTCATTCCGTTGCCCTGGGGTTGAGTGCTGTGGCTTTATAGCTCACAGCAGCCTCAAACTCCTGGGCTCAAGTTGACGCTCTTGCCTCAATCTCCCAAGTAGCTGGGACTATAGGTACCCATCAAAACAGTAGGCTAATTTTAGAGAAGAGGATCTTGCCTTGCTCAGGCTGGTCTTGAACTCCTGGGCTCAAGCAATCTACCCACTTCACCTTCCCATAGTGCTAGGATTATAGGCGTGAGCCACTGCGCCTGGCGTCCTAGGGATTTTTATTAGTATACATGTTTGTGAAAAATTGCTTTAAAATTGAAGTTTGTTATTAAAATAGTTTTAAATTCACTAAAGCAATTAATGATTTAATTTGAAAAGTAAATTGCATTTTTAAATATAAACCAGATTTTTATCTATGAGATTTATTTTGTTTATTTTGAGAGTCTCTGTCACCATGGATAGAGTGCTGTGGCGTCCTAGCTCACAACAGCTTCAAACTTTTGGTTTTGAGTGATTCTCTTGCCTCAGCTTCATATGTAGCTGGGACTATAGGAGCCCAGCACAATGCTGGTTAGTTTTTCTATTTTTAGTATAAATGGGTCTCATTCTTGTTCAGGCTGGTCTTGAACTCTTAAACTCAGGCAATCCACCCACCTCAGCCTCCCACAGTGCTGGGATTACTGTGGGAGCTGCCATGCCTGGCCTGTAGGATTTATTTTAAATGTATCTCTCCATCTTAGGGGTGGTTGTTGTATAGCATCATATTGTTATGCTTTGATTACAGTGTTATAAATTGATTTTTTTCCAATTAGGGTCTCATTAAAAAGTAGGTATATAAAATTTAGTTTATGTCACATTTAAGTACTGCTTCTCTCCTATAGGCCATCTCCCTATTTTAGGTAATATTACTAATAAAAATGGCATGAGTTGATGAGGTACTGTTATCCTAGTTTATAGATTAAAATAGAAAATTTGAAGTGTCAAAATATTAGGATGCTTTATAAATTTTCTGTGTTGATCAAAATTAGGACTAGAGAAAATTTGAGAGTTTTAATGTGAATATATACATATACAGATGTAGAGGTATAGACATAACTCTGTACTTTAATTATGATTTTAAGCAAGGGAGGAGAAAGTTTGGTAACTTTTTCAGGCTATCATTTTATATATATATATATATATATATATTTTTTTTTTTTTTTTTTTTTTTTTTGAGACGGAGCCTCAAGCTATCCCCCTGGGTGGAGTGCCATGGCATCACGCTCACAGCAACCTCCAACTCCTGGGCTCAAGCGAGTCTCCTGCCTCAGCCTCCCAAGTAGCTGGGACCACAGGCGCCCGCCACAACGCCTGGCCATTTTTTGGTTGCAGCCATCATTGTTGTTTGGTGGGCCCGGGCTGGGGATTCGAACCCACCACCTTGGGTGTATGTGGCTGGCGCCTTAGCCGCTTGAGCCACAGGCGCCGAGCCTATCATTTTATAAATTAGATTTTTAGAGTTTTGAATGAAACCCAGAAAATTAAGTCTTCATTATAGATGGCTGTTTTACATGCTTTAGAAATGTAATCACCTATGTGCCCCCTGCCCCAGACTCTAATAATGTTTATTAAGTAGTATGATGGAAAAAGTAGGTGTTTGTTTTGGTGTTCACAGCTACTTAATATGGAAAAAAATGAGGTTTGTTAAATGAGAAGCTTGATAATATGCCCAAACCCTTACTTTAAAATGGCATTGGGTAATTTCACAGCTATTAGGCTGACTCTTTAGCTACTTTGTTGAGGTCTAGAGTAGTGGAGAGTTTTGTGACATGAAAAATATGAAATATTTATGTAATATGGACTTACATTCTTAGAAGCACAACTGAGGGTTTTGTTTTAAATTCATAGGGAGAATGATGAATCAGTGAAAGAAGAGAAGTCTGACTTAAAAGAAAAATCTACAGGAAATAAGAAGGCCAATAGATTTCATCCTTATTCAAAAGACAAGAATTCAGGCACTGGAGAAAAGAAGGGTCCAAATCGTAACAGAGTTTTCATTAGCAATATCCCATATGACATGAAATGGCAAGCTATTAAAGATCTAATGAGAGAAAAAGGTAACTATCTCTGAAATAAACCACTGTTAAATAATCTTCATATAGAAAGGGGAGAGCAACTAAGCAGACTTTTTTATTCCTCTGAGCCACACAGACTCAAAAAATTTATTTTTATTTCTTGACTTGTGAATTAATCTTTTCCTCTTCTTTCATTTGACACAACTTCATTACAAGGTAGTATGGATAAATGAAGTATTTTTCTTTTTGCCATTTTAGTGGGATAGTAGTGAGCCAGCATATGCATGCCACCAAGAATTTTGTTAACGTGATTGCTTTGTCTAGTTGAAGTTTTTATAGATTTTTAAAGGACTACTGCATTAGTTAAGCAATAAATTTAGTGTGTTAAAGTATGACTAATAAGGCCTGATTATTTTTTTTCCAAAAGCTGTTTTGTTATTATCTTGGTGGAGTCTGGAATCTGGCTGTGGAATTTATTTTGTTTGCATTGTCATGACTGCCATGATGCTGTCTTTGCAGTTCTATATTAAAATTGCATTACTGCTGTTGCAGTTTTGTTCTCGAATAATCAGAAAACCTTCATCTTATATACATGGTTGGTTTTGGGGAAAAATAATTTTAATATTTGATCTTGTAAAAGTTAGTTTTGTTATCTCTTGAAAAATTGAGTTTCACCAGTCCTGAAAATTATGTACTTGGCTTTGAGGCTGATCTCTTCTAATCAATTTTTTAAAATTTGCATTGGTGTATCTGTTGTAAGGTGACAACTATTTGATTGGTTTTATTCATTGACTTTATTTAGAAAGTGTGTGGCTTGCTGTGAAGCATGACTTGTAAATTTAGTTTACTGATGGCAAACATGATTGAAGACATTCAGGTAGAAAGTCACCTTAAAACAGCTGTGGTGTGTAGGCTGACCAAAGTTATTTGAAAAGTGCTAATGTTGATGTTTTTTAATACGATAGGCTAAGGGACCATTTGTATGTATATGTGTTATTTGTTCACCAACTATATCATGCTGGCCAAAATATGATTTGTAGTATGAATTAGGTTAATATGGTTGTTAGCTTTTTTTAGAGAATGTGGACGATGTACATTTCTGAAAATTAGTTAAATTTACCTAGCCATTGATAGGAGGTATGTTGGTCTGGTTTTGATTGTTGGTGAATAATAGGTGCTGCTTTGTAGAGTTGTGCACAGGTGTGCAGTAAAGCAAGATATTGGTGTTTAAATGTATTGTTTCTTGGTATCTTCCTTTTGTATGTCTTATGTAGTTGGTGAGGTTACATACGTGGAGCTCTTTAAGGATGCGGAAGGAAAATCAAGGGTAAGTGCTGTGGGCAATAATCTGCTTGAGGTTTAAAAGTTCCTCAGCAGTTTACTTTTTGTATAATACTTGTACCAGTTTCTGGAAACTTAAGTTTCATTTTGTTTTACTTTTTTTATGCAAGATTTGAGGCTTTATTCTAGCAAGTCTGACAACTTATACAAACCAAACTAGCTGCCTGGAAGGGATGGGTTTTGTAAATGCTCATAAAGGGCATTCACTTTTCTAATGCACTAAGGTAATGCTTCTTTTTAGCTAAAAAAGATTTTAATATAGGATTTTGTTGTATTTTGATGTCTTCGAGGATATTTTAAAAGTAACTGAGTTGATACTATTCCCTAAGAGGTTTTTGAGAGGCCTATAATTTAATGGTGTTAATTAGAATGTATATTTGAAAGTTTTACTGAAAAGCTTAGTGTGGGAGCCTACAGGACTACATAAGAGGCAGTGCTTTGACCATTTGGTATGAATGACATTTCTGATTAAACTGACATCAAAGGAATTGGTTGATAGTAGATTTTTATTTTTAGCAACAAGAATACAATATACTGAAGAGTACAATGGAAAGCTATTGATAAGGCTTAATTACATCAGCAAAAATTAGGTACATAAGAAATAAAAACTTCATCATCACATTCAAATGGCATGTAGAACAGTGATCGTAAGCAATTATGTTTAAAAATGCTTCTACAAATTAATTCTTTACCATAGATAACTTTTACATACTTAATTGGGTGCTGTTAAAATTATGTACAGCCAGTTTTACTCTAATAGAGCACTTTGTTAGAAATGAAATTAATATTTATTTGCTATTTTGATTTTAATAGAGTTGAAAAACATTCTACACAATACATTTTTTGAAATATTACTCTGTGAGGATAGGTACGTTGGAGCTTTCAGTTATTTCCTTGAATTAAATTGAATTTGTGCAGTGACATTAGTTTTAATGTAAAAATCATGTAAAAGTAAAATTGTACTCCAAGCTTGTTAATATCTTATGTTCTAACGTCTTAGATTTAAAAATTTATAGAAAATTTGTGGTCACTTGCCTGTTATGTTCTGAAGGTGTTAAAAATGAAAAGTCATTGTACTGTGTTATTACATTAAAGATTTAAATGTTACAATCTACCATTACCTTCATCTACTGATCTAAATTTTTTTTTCTTTTCATAATTTGACAAATCTACCTGGATATAGGGTTGTGGGTAAGAATTTTTTTCTATAAGTATCTTAAGTCAAATTAAACTTCCTATTGGAAAAAAAATTAGTACATAAACATTTCCTATAAATTTTTCTTCCATTAAGTGTGGTTGAATTCAAAGATGAAGAATTTGTAAAGAAAGCACTAGAAACCATGAACAAATATGATCTTAGTGGAAGACCCCTAAATATTAAAGAGGTAAGATTTCTTATATTTAAAAACATAAATTTAAACATTTGACAATAAGGACATGCTTTCTTTGGATTTTCGTTTTTGTTAATGTATTTGTGTGAACTATAGCTTTTAAAAATGCTTATGAAGCATTGTATACTGGTGATAATTTTACTTGTACATGATTGTCTATTTGCTTTTAAGCAGTTAGTTGTCTTACATATTTGATCTATTTCAAAGGTATATGATTAAAGAAATTTCAGGACCCAGATATTTAAAGATGACCACCTTTAGGTTCTGACTTTATTTGGTATAGACATTTTAATTTTTAGATTGTGTTGTAGTTGATAATTAAAGATTTCTTAATAACGCAGATATCTTAAGGATTTGACTACAATTGATGTTCACTTTTAATAAAATTGACTTGGAAACTGTTCCAGATAAAAATTTAAGGAAAGTTATGACTTTGTTAGTGAAATTTATAACTAGAACTCAGAAACCCCTAAAGTGGAAATGTTCTCTTTATATGGAATTGTTGCAGTGTAAATAAGTTGACCAAAAAGATAACCAGAAGATACACAAAAATATTATTTACAGATGGGTGTAATTGACCTTGGAATGATTAGCTTGTAAAGTACTCATTTCCATGGGCAGTTTTCTGTTGTTCTGCATAAAACCTACACTATACTGTAGTCTTTTAAATATGTAATAGCATTATGTCTTAAAACAAATTGTACCTACCCTTCATTAAAAAATATTTTTTATGTTTTCAGTGCTAGTGGTTATCTTAGCCTTCAGCAAGTCTTAATCTTTTTGTTGGTGGACGGTCTTGCTTTGATGTTGTTGGCTACCAACTGGTCATGGTGGTGGCAGCTGAAGGCTGGGGTGGCTATGGTCATTTCTTAAAGTAAGAGAGTGATAAAGTTTGTTGCATTGATTGACTCTTCCTTGAAGGAAATATCTCTCTGTACTGTGCAATGCTGCTTGATAGTATTTTACCCACAGTAGAACTTCTTTCAGTTCTCTCCAACCCTGATGCTACTTTATCAACAAAGGTTGATAATGTAATATTCTAAATCCGTTGTTGTCAATTTAATGTCGTTCATAGCATTTCGCCAGGTATAGATTATATCCCCCGAAACTTTCTTTGTTCATCTATAAGGAGCAACTCATCTGTTTAAGTTTTATCATGTGATTGCAGCAATTTAATTATATCTTGGGTTCCACTCCTAATTTTACTTCTTTTGCTATTTCTACCACATCTGTAGTTATGTCCTCTACTGAAGTCTTGAACCCCTCACAGTCATCCATGAGGATTGGAATAAACTTCTTCTAAACCAGTGGTTCTCAACCTTCTTAATGCTGCAAACCTTTAATACATTCCAAAGGGGTAGCAACCCACAGGTTGAGAATTGCATTCTAAACGATCGATGTTGATATTTTGACTTCCTCTATGAATCATGAATGTTCTTAAATGTCCTCTAGAATAGTAAATCTTTTCTAAAAGAAAAGAAAGTTGACTTTGCTCAGGTCCATCAGAGGAAATCATTATGAAAGCTATAGCTTTATGAAATAAATTTTTTTTTTTTTTTTGAGACAGAGCCTCAAGCTGTTGTCCTGGGTAGAGTGCTGTGGCATCACAGTTCACAGCAACCTCTAACTCCTGAGCTCAAGCGAGTCTCCTGCCTCTGCCTCCCAAGTAGCTGGGACTACAAGGCACCTACCACAATGCCTGGCTATTTTTTGGTTGCAGCCATCATTGTTGTTTGGTGGGCCCAGGCTGGATTCGAACCCACCAGCTCAGGTGTATGTGGCTGGCGCCTTGGCCACTTGAGCCACAGGTGCCAAGCCAAATATATTTCTTAAATAAGACCTTGAGTTCAAAATTACTTCATGATCCAGTGCAGCAGACTGGATGTTGTGTTAATGGGTATAAAAACAACATTCATTTCCTTGTACATCTCCATCATAGCTCTTAGGTGAGATGACTAGGTTAGGTACATTGGCAATAGGCTTTAACATTTTTTTTATGGAGACAGAGTCTCACTATGTTGCCCTTAGTATACTAAGTGATGTGGCATCACAGCTCATAGCAACCTCAAACTCTTGGGCTTAAGGATTCTCTTGCCTCAGCCTCCCAGGTAGCTGGGACTACAGGCACCTGCCACAACGCCTCACTATTTTTTTGTTATTGTTGTTGTAGTTGTCATTGTTGTTTAGTGGGCCCTGGCTGGGTTCAAACCCACTAGCCCTGGTGTATGTGGCTGGCACTCTAGCTGCTGAACTACAGGTACCCAGCTGGCTTTAACATTTTAAAAGGATTTTTTTTTTCCTTTGCAGTAGGTCTCAACAGTGAACTTAAACTATTCAGTAAACCATTCTGTAAACAGATGTGCTATTATCCAAGCTTTGTTGTTCCATTTATAGGATAATTCTTAAGCTCTAGGACTTTCAGAATGTTAAATGAGCATTGGCTTCAACCTAAAGTCACCAGCTGCATTTACCCCTAACAAAAGAGTCAGCCTGCCCTTTGAAGCTTTGAAACTGGACATTGACTTCTCTCTAGCTATGAAAGTCCTGGATGGCATCTTTTTACACTAGAAGACTGCTGCAGTTTCATCTTCACTGAAAACTTGTTTAATGTTGCCACCCTCATCAGTCAGGCATCCTCATACTAGGCCTGCGGGCCACATGCAGCCGGCCTAGGACATTTATCTGGCCTGCTGGGTGTTTTTGCCTCCACTGCCTGTCCTGCTTAGCAGCTGACTTGTCCTTGGGCCCATAGTCCGGCCCTCCAGCAGTTTGAGGACAGTGAACTGGCTCCCTGTTTAAAAAGTTTGAGGACTCCTGCTCATCAGTGATCTTTAACTAGATCTTCTGGACCGCTTACTGCAGCTTCTCCATCAGCACTTGCTATTTCACTTTGCATTTTTATATTATGGAGATGGTTTTTCTCCTTAAACCTCATGAACTAACCTCTGCTAGCTTTACATTTTTCTTCTTGAGCTTTTTTACCTGTCTCAGCCTTTGTGTAATTAAGTAGAGTTAGGGCCTTGCTCTGGATTAGGCTTTGATTAAGAGAATGTTGTGGCTGATTTAATCTATATAGACTACTAAAACTTTCTCCATATCAGCAGTATGGCTTTTTTTGCTTTTTTATTATGCATCTGTTCACTGGAGTACCACTTTCAATTTCTTCAAGAACTTTTCCTTTGCATTCTCAACTTGATTTAACTGTTAGATATTGGAGGCCTAGCTTTTGACCTATCATGGTTTTCAACATGCTTTCTTTACTAAGCTTTGATCTTTTCTATGATTTGATTTGAAGTGAGAGACATGAGACTCTTCTGTTCACTGGAACACTCAGAAGTCATTGAAGAGTTATTAATTGGCTTCATTTCAATATTGTATCTCAGGGAATAGGGAGGCTTGAGGGGAGGGAGAGAGACAGGAATGGCTGGTCAGAACATGTAAAGTGTTTATCAGTTAAGTTCATTGTCTTATATGGGCATGATTGGTGGTGCCCCACAACAGTTAAAACATCAGCGGTTATGATCTCAAGTTACCATAACATTTAATAATAATGAAACAGTTTGAGATTTTGCAGCAATTACCAGAATAGCACAAAGACACAAAGTGAGCACTTGCTGTTGGATGGAAAAATGGCTCCAAAAGACTTGGCTTAACACAAGGTTGACACAAACCTTTAATTTGTAAAACAACAGAGCATCTGTGAAGCACAGTATTATAAAGTACAATAAAGTATGTCTGTATTTACCTTACAGGGTTTTTATGAAGATTAAATGAAATACATGGTAAAGAATTCAGGCACTGGCATCAGAGAATCTGTATAACTCAGAGCAAATGACTCACTATTATGGGAATAATAATAGAAAGTACCTAATAGTGCTATAAGGACTCAAAGAGTTGATATATGGAAAGCATTTAATTAATGTTAGCTACATTTATTATACTTATTATGTAAAGTATTTAGCATGGAAAAAATATTTTAAGTAATAAATGTTAGCAGTAATAGTAATGATTGTTCATTTGTCTGAGTGTTCTTGGTGTCTTATTTCTGAGTGTGAAATGGTAATAGCTTGACATTCAAGTTCATGGTACAACACATATACAGGTATCCCAATCCCTTTATTTCAGTTAGCATCCGAATTCTTCTAATCCTGTTTTGAGCCTGGAGTTATTATTATTTTTTTAAGTTTTTAAAATTATTTATTTTTTAAAATTTTTCATAGGGACATGGAGAATTGGTAGAAAAAGTTTAGACTGTTGTGGTTTGTGATAACTGTTTATTTGTGTTTTTTATGTGTAAGGCAGAATGTTTCAGAAATATGTTGGTATCCTGAATAATTTCTTTAAATTATAATCCTCAGAGTGATTATAATCTTCAAAATGATTATTTTTAGTGTTATAATTTTCTATTTCCTATTCCTTGTTAATGGCCAAGTATTACAGATTCTCAGTGTCCTTTTTTTTAAATTGGAAAAAAAGTTTATTGGATATTAAAGACCTAGGTCATATTATTCTTTTAATTTTGGAGCATTGTAGACCTTCAGTAATATTTCAGAGGCCCTAGAATAGAATTATATGATCCAAGTTGATATAGAATGTCTCCATTTTCAACTTTTTAAAGAGATAAAATGGTCAGATTGGCTTGGCTAAATGATGAGGAATTTATTCAATTAACTTTTTGGGGTTAACATTACTATGGGCACTCTCTTTCCTGGGATTTATAGTTGGGTGACTGGGGTGAATGCGTAGAATTACTACTGAGATGCAAGTCCAAGGAAAGTATACTTTCAATGTTCCTTAATCTTGAGAATTACGGTTTTTCACTTAATTAAATGGAGATTAGCAGCAGTTGTAAATGTATGATATAGGTCTTCTAAAACTGATAGCAGTCACTGACTGTCAGGCTGACAGTAAGGGAACAGAGGAATAAGAGCCATGTTACCTGGTAGGTGATTTGTTTTACATATATTTTATTTTATATATGTGTGAATGTGTTGTGTGTGTGTGTGTGTATAATTTGTCACATAAAAGACAAAACATAGCAGTGTGTTTTCTTAATGCAATAAGCACAGACAGCCTAAATATATATCTTAATAGTTCAGGAAGCATCTTCTCTGCAGTGTTGTCCTCCTTCCCCATAAGGTAACTACTATCTTAACTTGTACACGTTTTTGAATCCTTAAAGAATTTGTTTATTTAAACATTTCATGGCATTTTTTGATAACGTTTGTGTGTTTACTTTTGTAATCCTTTTTATTCCTTCTTATGAAGATACTGGCTGACAGAGTAACTTTATTCTTGCTTTCACCTTTTCACCTTTTATTCTCCAGAAAATAGCCATCCTAGAGAATTTATGAAGTAATCCTTTTTTCTTGTCATTACTACTGTGTTCTGGACTGAGGCCAGTGGAGTAGAGTTGGTGGTCGTCCTTAGCATGATTTTTGGCAGTGCAGATGATAGTCTATCACAAACACATCATTTATGTGGTTTTTCACTTATTTATTTTGGTTTTTTTTGCAGTCCATATAGTGGCATGAATGGGAAGTACCTTTAAACTTGCTTTTTTTGGTTTTGTTTAAAGGTAGAGTATTTCTCTTATAAAATTAATGAACTTAACAAAAAGCAGCGTTTAGTATCTTTCCTCATTTGGACACTTTGCCTTCCTTTATCTCTTCTTTGCTCCCGTCTCAGATCATAATCATTGTTGAGGAAGGTAAGAGGTTAGAAGATGGATAATAGTTCAGGAATGAAATTTACAGATTTTAATAGGTCTCCCTCTACCCTATTGTTCCTGGGTTTTATGAGAGTCTGTTCCATTACTGAGAAGCTTTGAATTAGTCTGAATTTGGGCATTGGGCATTCAGTGGTAAGAACTCACCATTTCTACATTTTGGAAAGAAAAGAGTCACAGTGAGTACTCTGCTTCTCTTTGAGTTGTGGGTATGTGTCATATGCTTGTCTAGTGTATGGGTAAAATCAAACTAATTTCAAGTTTTTAAGTGACTTTAGTGATTGGAAAGAGGTACTTAAGTGACATCTCTGGAGACTGAAATCTTTTGTCTATCCACAGGTTTTTATGGGACTCAATTCTCTGGATGAGGAAAAAGCTCATTCTTCAAGAGCAGGGGTCCTCAAACTTTTTAAACAGGGGGCCAGTTCACTGTCCCTTAGACCATTGGAGGGTCGGGCTGTAGGCCCTGGCACGTGTCGACTGCTAAGCAGGACAAGCAGTGGAGGCAAAAACACCCAGCGGGCCAGATAAATGTCCTAGGCGGGCCGCACGTGTCCCACTGGCCGTAGTTTGAGGACGCCTGTTCAAGAGGGTCAATAATTTGAACAAAATGGGATAGCTACTGTAGAATTGAAGTTGTTATTTATTTTATATAGATGTACTAATACATTTAGTGGCACTTAACATTCAATGTGTGTTATAGGATCCTGATGGAGAAAACGCTCGTAGGGCATTGCAACGAACAGGAGGCTCATTTCCAGGAGGACATGTCCCTGATATGGGATCGGGGTTGATGAATTTACCACCTTCCATTCTCAATAATCCAAATATTCCTCCAGAGGTTATCAGTAATTTGCAGGCTGGTAGACTTGGTTCCACAATTTTTGTTGCTAATGTAAGTTTAAGCTTTAGTTTAAAATTCTGTCATTCAGATGCTTAGTTCTAATCATTAGAAAATTTAATTAGATGAATGAGTTACAGGTTTACAGAACATTTTATTTTTAACTAAAGTGAAACAATTATTATTATAAACTCAATCCAATTTCAGTCTGTATATATAAGATAAAAGTACAGAGAACTGTAGAATTTATACACATTTATTTACTTTAATAATATGTATTTTGGTGCACATTAGTAAATGGATTTCCTTATTGTAGACTTGATATTTGCAAATGTGCATATCATAGTTGGTTTGTCATGTGTTCTAAACTTTTGAAAGTCCGTGAAATTAACACTTTTCAAGATCTTAATTTCTCTTGGTAAAAATAGGTATGCAAGTTTCAAATGTATAAAACAGGTTTAAGCACTTGAGATGATTTTGGAAATTACAAAAATTATAAGGATGAGGAACCACTTAATAGATGTAGCTTAGCTGATTTTAAACAAGTAAAGATGCTTATTTGAAAATTATTGATATATTATTGAACAAAAATTATAGTTATTTATAGTTGTGAGGGTTAAGAAAAGATTATTTTGTATTTATAAGTGGGGAGAGGGATTTATGAGGTCTGTAACTTCATATGATTTTATGTTAAGCTTGACTTCAAAGTTGGTTGGAAGAAGCTAAAAGAAGTGTTCAGCATAGCTGGAACTGTAAAGCGGGCAGATATTAAAGAAGACAAAGATGGCAAGAGCAGAGGAATGGGCACTGTCACTTTCGAGCAAGCAATTGAAGCAGTTCAAGCAATTTGTATCCTAATTTACGTTTTAGCATTATTTATGAAGTTGAAGATGGTTGATATTGTCTTGTGTGTGTAGACAGTTGGCTGGCTTAGGAATATGTTAGACTTTAGTCTCCAGCATATAAAACCTTTACCATGTCCAAGTACTAAAGTCATTCTTAAAACTTGAATCAGCCGTACTGTACAAGGCTGGTATGGAGTTATTTTTCTACTTTCTTCGTATCACAACCGATCATATGTATAGCATGCTTTTGACAGTTATGTAATGCATTATACATTAATGCAATTGTTTTAAATAAAACACTGTTAATTTTCTTTTTTCAGTGATTGAATTAAAGGAATTTATTTTATGTATGCAATAAAACTATAAAGCAAAGAACTAAAGTTTTTTTGAGTATATAGAAGTAGCTAATACCAAAACATATTAAAGATGTTAATTAAAAATATTAGAGATAGTTAGACTTTAAGATTATTAAAAATTAGTTTGTGTTCAAGTATAAGTTTATAGTTAACAGTCTTTCCTTGACTGAGCCAACAGCTATGTTCAATGGACAGTTTTTATTTGATAGACCTATGCATGTGAAAATGGTGAGTTGCTATATATCACATCAGCGCTTCAACCACTTCAAATATTTTATCTGCTCTCCTCTGCATTACCGTTCTTTTTGCTAATGTGCTAACCATATAATAAATTTTTTTGTAATTAGGATGACAAATCTGTTCCTCATGAAGAATACCGTTCACATGATAGTAAAACACCACAGCTGCCACGTAAGTAAAAGCTATTATTAGAAACAACACAGACCATTTTTTTTTAGTTTTATGATATGTTAAAACTTTTTATTGTTGTGCCTGCATCCTAAATTGCTCATGGTTTGGGATTAGTTTGTAATTGTGGAGATAGTTTCATGCTATTGATTAGGAAGACTGAGAAGATAAATGTTATATGCCATTTTTCTTTTTGGTACTTTCCCCTGACTATATAAAAAATATGTTCTAAAATATTTGGTAAGTTCATGCATGTAAAGGAAAAAATTCCTCAATACTTCCATCACCTACACATAACCCCCTTTGTAACATTTTTATATATTTTCTTCTAGTCTTTCTTTCTATGTATATTTTTTAAATGTAGGTGGGAACTATCAAATAAATAACTTTGAATTTTTTATGATTTAATATTAGAGTATAAACATTTTTCCATGTTGAAAATTCTTCCCAGATCGGCTCAGTGCCTGTGGCTCAGTGAGTAGGGCACCAGCCACATACACCAGGGCTGGCAGGTTTGAGCCTGGCCTGGGCTTGCTAAACAACAATGACAACTGCAACCAAAAAATAGCTGGGGATTGTGGTGGGCACCTATAGTCCCAGTTACTTGGGAGGTTGAGGCAAGAGAATAGCTTAAGCCCAAAAGTTTGAGGTTGCTGTGAACTGTGATGCTACGGCGCTCTACCAAGGACAATGTAGTAAGACTGTCTCAAAAAAAAAAAAAAAGAAAATTCTTCCCAGATATTTTTTATTGGTAGTATAATAATCTGTTACACAGATGTTCCACAAAGTATTTCACTGTTCTGCTTTGTGTATTTTAATTTTTATTTATTTTCATAACCAACAGAGTAATGCATATAAAATCTTTGGTATGTTTTGGTTATTTTCTTAAGATAGATATTATGAAGTAGATTTACAGTTCTCAGGGTATGTCCACTGATTAGTTTTTTTTTTTTTTTTAAGTTCACCAATTTCTTTTTTTTTTCTATTAAATCATAGCAGTGTACATTAATACTATCTGATTAGTTTTATCAAATTGTTTTCCAAAGGATTATAAAATAACAGTGTAATGTGCTTGGTATCAGTCTCTTAATGTCTCATTTGAGAAATGGGGATAACAGTATCTACTTCATAGAATTAGCATGAGTTAATGTATGTAAAGCCCTGAGAACCTTTCTGGAATAATGTAAGCTCTCAGGAAATAATAGCTATTGTCTTACTATTTCACTACACCTTCTATGGTTGTTAAAGTTTTTTATCATAAAATACTTGAAGTATATAGACAAAATTATTCTTTAGCTATCATATGTCATATTTGTTGTTCATATCTTTTCTTTAAATAAAACTTCACATGTAAAATGGAGATTTCCCTTTTCCTGTAGTCACCTTTCAATACATACTTTACCCAGACAAAATAGCTTATGAATGCAGTGCTTATCATTTAGGTTTTTATAATTTGAATATACATTTATAAATCATAAACATACAGAATTGTATTTAGAATTTGGTATGAGTGATGTCATATTTATTTATATATTATTACTTGCTGTCTGTTTAAAATTGTTTTTGAGATTCATTTATGTTTACAGATACAGCTCTAGTTTCTTCATTTTACTTGTTTATAACCATATTTTATACATTTTGCTACTTTTTTAGGTTATTATAATTTTTAGTTATTAGAAACAGTTTTGAGTTGGGGAGTCTGAATTGAGGAGTATTTGTTCTTTTGTTGGAATGATCTGTTCTCAATATTTGCTAAAAATTGTGTGTAAAACTGGCCTTCATATAATGTTTTAGGGAAGATTTTTCACTACTGATTAATCATATTTCCTTCTCTTGCTCTTTGAGTCAGTTCTAGTAATTTTAAGTTTTCTAACAACTTTGCTATTTTTGTTTATTTTCAAATTTATTGGCATAAAGTTATCTCTTAAATTTCTGGTGCACCTATAGTTCTGTCTTTTAAAGTCTGAAAGTTTATAATTTTTTGGTCAGTTTTCTAGAGATTTGTCAGTTTTGTTAGTGTTTTCAAATAACTGAATACTATTTTATCTTCAGTTTCTCCTTTTAGCTTTATAATTTTTTTTCTTTCTATTTCTTTGGGTTTAGTCTCTTGTTTTTGTCTTAACTCCTTAAATTGAATCCTTATTCCTTAAGCAACCTCTCTTTTCAAAGGTAAACAGTTATGCCTATAAAGTTAGCCAGTGTGTACAGGTTTTGTTATGGAGTATTTTTATTATGGTTCAGTTTTTAAAGTATTTAAAAAATACCATTATGATTTCTTACTGAGCCATATATTATTTGGAAATACAATTATTGAATTTCCAAATGCATGAGGTTTTTTTTTTAAAAATTATTTCTGACTTCATTGTGGTCAGCAAATGTGTAGTGTATAGAATTGTGATTCTTTGGAATTAATTTGGACTTGTATTGTAATGGCCTACCCTGTGGCACATTTTTATACACGTGAGTGTTCCAGGTGTGATTGGTGAGTGCAGTGTTCTGTATGTGTCCATTGAATCAAGTTTGTTAATTATTTAAATTGTCTTACATCCTTACCAGTAATTTTGTTCACTTGTGCCATCAATTATTGAGATACATGGCTGGTAAAATCTTCTTTTAGAGGGATGGATTTGGGCCGGGTATGGTAGCTCAAACTTGTAACCTTAGTCCTTTGGAAGGCTGAGGTAGGAGGACTGATTTAGGCCAAGAATTCAAGACCAGCCTGAGGAACATAGATGACCCTGTCTTTATAAAAAAGAAAGAAAGAAAGAAAGAAAGAAAAATTAGCCAGGCATCATGGGTACATACCTATAGTCCCATCTACTTGGGAGTCTGAGCATGTGGATTGCTAGAGCCCAGGAGTTTGAGGTTGCAGTAAACTGTGATTATAACTGCACTCTAGCCTAGGTAACAAAGAGAACCCCGTGTCGAAACAAACAAAAACAAACAGAAAACAAAGAATTGAGGATTTGTTTGTTCTTTCTTATTTTTTTATAATGCTTAAATATTTTGAAGCTAATTTAGTAGATATACCCAAGATTAAATTGATGTCTTGTATTGTCTTTTCTTTTTTTTTTTTTGAGACAGTGTCTCTCTGTGTTGCCCTGGGTAGAGTGCTGTGGTGTCACAGCTCACAGCAACTTCAAACTCTTGGGCTTAGTTGGTTCTTTTGCCTCAGTCTCGTAAGTAGCTGGGACTACGGGCGCTTGCCACAATGCCTGGCTATTTTTTTGTTGCAGTTGTTTAGCTGGCCTGGACCAGGTTCAAACCCGCCACTACTGTGCTACGGGCGCCAAGCCTAAATTGATATATTTTCTTAGTGAATCAGGTATTTTATCATTATAGAATGATCTCAATTCTAGTAATTACCTTTAGGTCTTTTGTCTAATATTAATGTAAGTATAACAGCTTTATTTAGTATTTGTGTAATAGTTTTCCTATTTCTTTATTTTTTAACTGCTTTACATGTGTCCCTTATAGTATTATAGCTGACGTAAGACATTTAAAAAATTAATTTGAGAGACTTAACCATGAAATCAAAGAGTTTATGTCATTTATTGATTCATTTGGATTAATTTCCATTATTTTATTTTGTGTTTTATTTTTCTGTTTTACAAAAATTTTTCTTCTTTTTTAGTTGCTCTTCTGTCTGTTATGTCTGTATGAAGTTAATATCACTATTAACTTCAAATGCTTCTAATCATTTTCCTGCTGAATTATGTTGTTATTGCTCAATATTTCAGTTCCATATTGCTTTTTTCCAGCATCTCATGAATTAGACATTATTATTATTTATCATTCATTTTGTTTGTTGTCATTCCTGTACTTTTATATATGCTGGCACTAATTTCTTTTAAGTATTTATTTTAGAAACTCTTTTAATGAGCATCTGTTGTAACTTCTCTCAATTTTCATTTGTCTATAAATGTCTTCAAAGATAGTGTTACTTGTTATATAGTTTAAGATTGATAGTTATTTTCTCTCAGCACATTAAAAATATCCTAGTTTTCTGTTTTCATTGTTGCTGTTAAGTCTGCTGTCTGCTGAATTGCTGTTTCTTTGTCGGTAATCTGTGTTCTTTATTTAGCTAATTTTAAGATCTTTGGTTTTGGTATTCAGTTTTCCCATGGTATGGGTGTAAATTACTATTTATTTGGCTTTCATAATCTGAGAATTCAGTTTCTAAAAATTTGTCGGCTATATGTCTTTGACTATTGCTGTTTTTCCCTTCATAGGGCAGTTCTTCTCTTCTTCCCCACTTTGGCCTGATCAGTCAGGGTGTCATTTTTCAAGGTCCTGGCTTTATGTGGGAGCTTCCAATTTACTTTCTCACTATTTATGCTCTTCTATTTGTTTAGGTTAAAAAAGAAACTACCGTGTTATGGTCACACATTTATATTACATCTATTCTTCTTGAGGTTTATGTTTTTTTTTTTTTTTTTATCTTTCTTTATTTCCATCTGTGTACAAAACTTTTCTAGAATGTGTTCATCTTGACAAACAGACCGAACAGACCAAAGCTTTTGTTCTAGAATCCTAGACCTGTTCTGTCCAGTATACTAGCCACGAACCACATATGGCTATTTGATTTTTAATTAAGTAAAATTGAAAAATTCAGTTCCTTAGTCACACTAGCTACTAAGTAAGTAGTGTTACCAAACAGGACTACACAGATATAGCATAGTTCTGTCCTGGAAAGTGAGAACCACAAGGAGCCATCCAGATGATCTGGCCCAGCCTCCCTTATTTTATAGATGAGGAGTTTGAGACGAGGTTTATGTTTTTATATACTCTTCTATATTGATATATAGAATCAGTTTGTTTTATTTAATCATTATAACCTCTTCCCCTCAATAATTTTTTCCTCTCTCCTTCCCTTCCTCCTTTCCTTTGTTCAGATTATAATGGGGCAAGTGGGAGGCTCATTCCCTATGCTTCTTATATTCTTTTTAGTAGAAACAAGATTTTCAAAATCCACTTTGATTTTTTTTTTTCCCGGCTTCAAGTCATGGGTGCTTCTTGTACATATCAGTGTGTGGTTGAGGGTCAGATGGTCAGATATGGTATTGTTTCCAGGTAGACCATTTTAAGGAATTGTGTGGGGAAAAAAGGCATTTGTTTCATGTTGATCTCTACATTTAATACAACATGCTCTGTGTTATAAACATGCTCTAATTTTTAAAATTAAATATAGCATATGGTTTTCTAAGGCCCGTTAATTACTAATGTAGCAAGAACATTAAAACCATACTTAGATTTAGTGGACTAAAATAATCCCCATCTATATATATGTTAATTCGTTTTGATGTGTTTAAACACGTCAAAATTAGACTTTTTAGAGTCTTTCCAACTAATATAATTAATTTAATTAAATACATATTATTCTAATTATAGACATAAAATAGAACTTAATTATTTTAAGAATAGTAAAAAGCATGCTAGATTTGGAGGAAGAAGACTTAAATTCTACTCTCAGCTTAATCGCATAGCTAACTGGCATTGTTGAAGTCACTTGAAGTCTCAAAAATTTCCTTATCTATGGGTAGATGTGTACACACTTAAAGTGCCACATAAATATAAGTTACACATGTCAGTGAGAAAACTGGGTAATAAAACATCTGTTTTGTTCAATGTTATATTTTTGTAGTTGTTGGCTTATTAGTTTAATTGAATCATCTTAAAAGTAATTCTTAGATTTTAAGTAGTTGTAAAAATCTGGGCACTATATTCATTTTCAGATATATTTTCCTTTATAAAGTGTAATTATAGAAAACCCTCTTGGCATTTCAGTATTTGAGTGAGATATAAATAGAGCTATTTCATAGAACACTTCTCCTTAATAAAAGGTAATTTAGACAGGCTTCAATGTGCTGCTTTCTAAAAGGAAAGCAAGAACCAGTGCTCTTATTGGCAAATTTGCAAAATTTTAGAGACACTATTTTATCTTTTTTTTTAAATTTTAGAGATACTATTATAGCTTTTTTTGAAATTTTAGTGCCAGTTGGTTAGCCATATATGGATCTTGCTAACTTTCTTTTTTTTTTTCCCTTTAAAAAATTTTCGATTTGTGGAGGGTACAAGTGGTTTTTGGTTACATGGATGAATTGTATAGTGCTGATGTCTTGGTTTTCAGTGTACCCATCACCAAACAGTATACATTGTACCCAGTAGGTGTTTTTTCTTCCTTTACTTTCTTCCCGTCCTCCCTCTTTCCGAGTCTCCAGTGTCCATTGTACCACTATGTGTGCCACTGTGGACCGGTAGCTTAGCTCCTGCTTATAAATGAGAACGTGCATATTTAGTTTTCCATTTCTGCTTTACTTCACTTAGGATAATGGTTCCATTTCCATCCAAGTTGCTGCAAAAGACATTATTTAATTTCTTTTTTGTGTTTTAGGCGGTCTTGGAGGCATTGGAATGGGACTTGGTCCAGGTGGACAGCCTATTAGTGCCAGCCAGTTGAATATAGGTGGTGTGATGGGAAATTTAGGTCCAAGTGGTGAGTATTCTTTCTTATTTCTTTTTAAATGATATATTTGTTAGGTGATGAAGTTTACATTTAACTAGTCTGTAGTAATGTTTAAAGAACTCTATTTTATAGTTAGATATTTTGGGTGTCACTTCAGTATGAAGAAAGAATGAAACTGGAAGAGCAGCTAGGCACAAGTCAGGAGGGCTCCCCTGGGGCCAGACATGTTTAACTAGTCTTTTATCCACAAGGCTTTTGAAATGTCTTTAAGGCAGAAGGGGACTATATCATGGACATAGAATATTTATGAAATGGCTGAAATGCTACCATATCACAGGCAACTTAAATTTGTGTGCCTAGTTGAGAAGGTAGCTTTTCAGGTAGCTATTTGGCTGTTCACCTGGACTAAGTCATAGTTTATTTTTAGAGATTGGTTTTTAAACTTTCTGGTTTCAGGACTTTTTTATACTCTTAAAATTTGTTGAGGACCAAGAACTTTTGTTTATATGGTTATATTTACCAGTATTTACTGGATTATAAATGAAATCTTAGAAATGTAGATTACATACTTGTTTAAAAATACCAATAATAAACCCATTATGTGTTAACATAAATATAGTTTTTAATAAAATGAACTGTATTTTTCAGTGCAAAAAAGTTAGTGAGAAGAGTGGGTACCTGTTTCCATGTCTCTTTGATGTTCGGTATGGTAACACAAGAAAGCCGTACTGTTACCAGTTTGTTGTGGTGTTATATATAAGCCTTATATTCATGGGAGAGTGAGAGTAAAACAGTGGAGGTCAAAGTAGGATTTGATAACTGAAATAGTTTTGACTTGTTGAGTTCTCCAGGGTCCCCAGATCACATTTTGAGAATTACTGTTTTTTTTAATTGATAGACTAATAAATGCTGTTAGATTCCTATTACTGTTAAGATGCTGTAGTCACACTTTAAATTATGAGGGTGGTTATGGAAATCATTCTGATCCAAATAATTTTTCTCCCTTACCCTTAGACTCTCATCCCCTTTGCCCACCTAAACATGTACTATTTATATAATTTACATTTTTTACAATTCTCTTAACTGCCATGTTAACGATCTGGGCCTAATCTCTAAATCTGTAGTGGTCTTTCTGTGTCTGTTCTGAAACAGAGTTACCTAGTCCTAGGTAATCTTTAACTGAATGTTGTAGGTGTGACCAGTGAATTTTGGTTTCTTTTCTAATAAATATTCAAAGAAACTTTTTTAAGGACTCATGATTAGATACCTGCCATCATACAGTACTTTAAATCGTTTTCCTCTATCCTCCTTTTCTAGTGTCTCCTTGTGGCTAGACCAGTGGTATCTATTTTGCTATCATGCCTTACATCATTCTTTAATCCTAAAAATAAAATTTACTCAAAGTGTGTACTGTGTATTTTATTTGAGGTATGGGAATGGATGGTCCAGGTTTTGGAGGAATGAATAGAATCGGAGGAGGTATGTATAAGCATTTGTTTTTTGTATGTACCTACCCATCACCATTTTTAATAAACTGGAAACTGTTGAGAATTCAAAGTAAAAAGTCATATTTTATTCTTCACTCATGTTCTCAGGCTGCTAGCAGAATAAAGCTTATTATATACTTACGGGTAGGTGATGTTTGAAGAAGTAGCTACACAGGAAGGGTGGCGGAAAAGCTTGTTATTGAGACAGAACATTTGCAATATGTGCCTTTCTGTTATATAACTGACAGATCTCAGAATTAATCTTTATTCCATAGGAATTGGGTTTGGTGGTCTGGAGGCAATGAATAGCATGGGTGGATTTGGAGGAGTTGGCCGAATGGGAGGTAGGTGAATGTACAAAGTGGGATATGTATGCTGTGTTTAGTTTTGAATGGGTGCCATAGATGTCTTCAGAAGACCTGTGGGCACTAACGGATAAGCATAGGCATGGTGGGAATGGGGATGGCTTATGTGGCATAAAGTAAACTGGGTAAAGTACAGACTTTTGTCTTAGCGACTTAATGCTGTCTTTTCAGTGAGGTTTAGGTGTATGTTCCTTAGTGTTTTACCATGCACTGACATACTTGAAAATGGGTTAATTTGTTGCACAATCTTTTCAGAGCTATACCGTGGCGCAATGACTAGTAGCATGGAGCGAGAGTTTGGACGTGGTGATATTGGAATAAATCGAGGCTTTGGAGATTCCTTTGGTAGACTTGGTAGGGTTGGTTGTATACTTCTCCTTTGTTCTCCTTTTTTAATGGAAAATCAGAAATTTATAATGTTTCATGCAAGGTATTACCTGAAGAAAACAGTTTAGGGATTTTAATGTACTTGATGTTTTTTCAGTATTTTACATATTTGAATCTGATTTTCAGAAGAATTTATACTTTTTAGTTATTGTACATCTTCTGAGAGCATAGTGCCTTGGAAATTTTAAAGTATGGTTATTTAAATTAATTAGTATATTATCTTTCCATCCTTGTTTAGGCAGTGCAATGATTGGAGGGTTTGCAGGAAGAATAGGAGCTTCTAACATGGGTCCAGTAGGATCTGGAATAAGTAGGTTTAAATTTTACTAGAATTTATTCAGTAATGTTTGAGTGCTTGCAAAATCTTTGCAAGAGTAGTTATTGTAGTTATAGTAGTACCTTGTTCATATGTTAATATGTCTTGTCATAACTTGAGAAACTTTGATAGTTATTAAGCTAAGCTTTTCTGTTTGATCATTGTCTGAAATTTCTAAATTAACTATTTGAATTTTGTTTCTTTGATATCTCTAACACCAGAGTATGTGTTAAGAAGCCAAGCCATGAACCTTCCTTCTAATTAAGGAATCTGGAAAGTTCTCTGATCATGTGTCAGAACAACTTTTGCTTTAGCACAAACTTTGTTTCCTTGCTTAATTTCTGTAATAGATATTAGTGTCTAGCTCATTTTATCTGTGAACATCTTGTGTCTTCTGTTAATTATAAATATAACACTTTTAGAGATCCCTGAGGTTGACAGCTAAAGTTGAAAGAGGTGCTTACTTCCTTTCCTCTTAAAACCTTTTAAGTGAAGAAAATCAAGGATAGTTGCAACACTGGAGAACACTACATCTCCCATCTATCTGTTTCTACTATCACACTGTAGGCCTTACATTAAGCCTTAACACATGGCTTATTTTTTTTCTTTTAACCTCTGTTCATTAATGGGCCATATCTCTGTGAGCTCCCCTTACTTTATTAGCTTTCATTCTTTATTTTTTGAGACAGAGTCTTGCTCTGTCACTTGGGCTAGAGTGCATAGCTCACTGCAACCTCAAACTCTTGAGTTCAATCAGTCCTCCTGCCTCAGCCTCCTGAGTAGCTGGGGTTACAGGTGCATGGCCAATTTTTCTTTTTTCTTTTCTTTTCTTTCTTTCTTTCTTTCTTTTTTTTTTTTTTTTAGAGACAGCATCTTGTTTTTGCTCACGCTGGTCTTTAACTCCTGGCCTTAAGCATTCCTTCCACTTCAGCCTCCCATTTTGAATTCCTTTAATTGATAAAATTCTCAAACAAGAATATAAGCTAAGCGTAAACACTAAAATCCTATCAGCTGGAGAGATCTGCTTCCAGTGCATCTTGCTTCTCATTTTATTCCTTTTTTCATCATCTTCTAGCTTTGGCCATTTTCCTGTTAATCCTAACTTCTCTGTCTTCTTTTATCTCAGTGTTAATACTTCTGTTTCCCTAATTTCATATTTGTTATTCACAGAAAGCCAATCTGAGGGTGATGTTAATTTTTAGGATTTCTTTGTATGGGGATATTAGAAACAAGAAAAATGTTAAGTTTTGAGAATGAGTAAAATTGGAATAATTGAAGGGGACTGGAAATGGAGTTAGTATATGAAAATGATGTAGGTAGGAATTAGAAGTGAAATTCTCAAGCTCTGCTGAATGGGAGTGGTACTGTTTTTTTGTAGTTACCATGACAAGTTCTAGGTAATAATTGAGATTAAAAGTTACATTTTGTCATGATCTTATATTTTAAAACTGAAAAGCTATGAAAACAAAAAATGGGAAACAGAGGTGAAGATACTGAGGTAAAAGACAAGCTAGGAAAGGAGCATTTACATGCAGCAGAGTGTGATGAGGCAACATGTGCAGTAATTTGACTTTATTTCCATATATCTTTGTTTTAGCAATTATTATGCTTGATATTACTGGAAAATAAAAAATAAGGATTAAAAACTACTCTAATGTTAATGGTTACAGTATTTGGTATAGCACTGGTTGTAATTTATATGATGTGTTTTATATTCAGAATATGATTTTATAGCAGTATATAACTTATATAGTGGCTAGAATTATATTTCTCAGCTAACCAAATATACACCAAAGCGAATGCTCTTCCTTGTCTGTATGACAAAATTGTCTATATGAAATGATTTTGTTTGTAAATATTTAATTGTATAAAATGAATTTTCGCTCCTTTTTTCCTGAAAAATGACTCTTCTTTCCCTTCTTCCTTCTCTTTCTTCTTCTTTTCCTTATGTTTTTGAAACCAAAACACAAAAAAATCCCAAATCCTCCCTTCCCTTCTTGAAAATCCAGGTGGTGGAATGGGTGGCATGAACAGTGTGACTGGAGGCATGGGGATAGGACTGGACCGGATGAGTTCCAGCTTTGATAGAATGGGACCGGGTATAGGAGCTATACTGGAAAGGAGCATCGATATGGATCGAGGATTTTTATCGGGTCCAATGGGAAGCGGAATGAGAGACAGAATAGGCTCCAAAGGCAACCAGATATTTGTCAGAAATGTAAGCAAATAAATGTAAAGGATAAATAAAATTCTTTTTTTTCTTGTATATATATTACTAATACCTCTTTTCATTCTAGCTGCCTTTTGACTTGACTTGGCAGAAACTAAAAGAGAAATTCAGTCAGTGTGGTAAGTATGCCAATGACTGCAGATATGTTGATAGCGATTATGGAGGAACATTGGTTTTAAACTTTTAGACACTCTTGAGATCTCTGCCTGTCCAGACGTTTATTCCTGAGTAGTCTGGATGGTGTACCAGGTCTAGTTCTATTTCAACTAAATGTATTATTTTGCTATCTTCTAACAAAGCAGTGCAAATTGCTACTGAATAATAGGGTTTAGGGTATAACTTGTCATTGTCTCTTATAAACAGGGGCTTGTTTTATTAGCTCATTTTTAAAGAGTTGCCATATCATCATTTGTATTATAAAGTTCTTTCTTATGGGAAATATTAATAAATGGTATGTGGGCATGTTTACTTCCTTGTTTATAGTGTAGTACAGTGGATTGGCAGCATGACCACCAGAGATGCAGACATCCAGTTGATATGTGATACGCAGATAATACAGTTGAAGACCAATGCCTTCATTGGGGAGTAGGTTGGGTGGGGTGAGGGATGGTTTGTTTTTGTATGTCCCTGACCCACCCCTATTGGTTTGCCACTTAAGTGAGGCCCATTCTGCATATGCTTATCACCTGACTTAGCTGGTGGTATAGAACCCACTACCATTAATGCCTTAGACATAGGTACATTTTGAGTGCACTTCTAATTCTTTTATAAACTGCTCTTATCTATAATGGTACTGCCTCTACAACCTTAATGTGTTTCTTAAGTCTGTAGAAGATTAGGTGATTTATTACTTTTCAAAGAGAGCCTTTTTACATATTTTGTTATAAAATATCTTAACTGATAAAGTTCTCACTTTTCTTTTATGGTAATGAGAGAATTAGTGTGAGTAGGACAAAGGAATAGATTTTTTATAGTATTTTTTTGCTGTTTTCTGGAATCCCAGAGATGTAATCACAATGGTAAAGTACATGGATAGCAAATAATGATGAAGAAGGGTTAAAAGTGGTACACCCTGCCTAGAATATTTGGAATATATTGTTAAGGTCATGAAGGGGATAGGTTTAGTGCTATCTCACAAAAATAGCCTTTGTGGCCACTATCAGAGATAATGTTATCTACTTGGTTCTTACAGTTCTTTTTACATACTATTGTAGCTTTTATTATATTGTAATTATTCATATTTCCTTCCATTCTAGATGGAAGCTCTTGAGGGCAAGAACTGCCACCTGTTTAGCCTACCACCTTTCTTTGCTTCTGTACATACACTAGTTTTTATTATATGTATTGTAATTATTTGTTCAGATTTTCTTTCATCCCAGATGGAGGCTCTTGAGGGCAAGAACTGTCATCTCTTTATCATACACCTTTCATTGTCTTTGTCTATATAGTAACAGTTTATGAAATAATTTGTAAGTTAAGTGTTTTGAGTAGGTCTTTGTTCTTTTATTCAGTTATTTGTTCATTAAATCTACAGATATTGTACTTTTGGCAGTTTGCTAGGCACTAGAATTATGAAGGTGAACACACTCAGATATCCCTGCCCTCAAGAACAAACAAAATGAATTTGTCTAGGATGGTCTTCTGGCTCCCTTTGTTGATCGTCCTTTTATTTTGCACTAACCTAAAATTGAAGGAAGAGAAACTACATTTTTTAAATTAAAAATTGTTGAAAATAAGTCAATTTGTAAACAGTTGTCACTAAAATAATACAAAATAGTGAAGTCAAGGTACTGGCTGTCTTTGTAGGATTAAGAAGATCTGTACATTGTGTAAGCAGCATCTGTCCATGAATCCCAGACTACAGAGGAAAGAACCTGTCAGGGCCTTAGTGAAATATATCAAATGAAGAGTTGCGGCAGCAAGTATAGACAATCTCTGCTCATGTAGTTTCGTTGAAAAAAGCATCTCCAAATGAGATAAGACACTATGTTAAAAAGTAACAATGTGATGCCATCTGATTTGTTTTTATTTCTGAATAACGTCTTGGCTATTTGAGGTTTTTTCTGTTTCCATATAAAATGAAGTACTAGTTTTCCAGAACTTTAAAGTATGACAGAGGTGCTTTAATGGGGATTGCATTAAATTGGTAGATTGCTTTGGGTAGTATGGACATTTTAACAATGTTGATTCTTCCCAACCATGAGCATGGTATGTTTTTCCATTTGTTAACATCTTCAGCTATTTCTTTTCTCAGAGTTTCATAGTTCTCTTTATACAGATCTTTCACGTCCTTTGTTAGGTACACTCCCAGATATATCATTTTCTTTGGCACTACCTTAAAGGGAATTGAATCCATGACTTTTTTTTTCAGCTTGACTATTGTTGGTATATAGGAATGCTATTGATTTGTGAGTATTGATTTTGTAGCCTGAGACGCTGCTGTAGTCCTTGATTACTTCTAAGAGTTTTGTGGTTGAGTCCCTGGGGTTTTCCAGGTATGTGATCATAATCATCTGCGAAGACTGAAAGTTGGACTATACTATAAATCTGTAGTGATCAAAATAGCATGGTATTGGCACGAAAACAGACAGGTAGATGTATGGAATAGAATTGAGAACCAAGAGATAAATCCAGACACTTAGCATCATTTGATCTTCCATAAGCCTATCAAAAACTTAAATTAGGGGAAAGACTCCCTATTTAACAAATGATGCCGGGTGAATTGGCTGGCAACTTGTAGAAGACTAAAACTGGACCCACACCTTTCACCTCTAACAAAGATTGACTCTCAATGGATAAAAGACTTAACCTAAGACATGAAACCATAAAAGTTCTTGGAGAGAGTGCAGGGGAAACACTTGAAGAAATTGGCCTGGGAGAATACTTTATGAGGAGGATACCCCGGGCAATTGAGGCAATACCAAAAATACATTACTGGGATCTGATCAAACTAAAAAGCTTCTGCACTGTCAACAACACAGTAAGTAAAGCAAGTAGACTCCCCTCAGAATGGGAGAGGATATTTGCAGGTTACATTTCTGACAAAGGTCTGATAACCAGAATCTACAGAGAACTCAAACTTATTAATAAGAAAATAACAAGTGATCCCATTTCACTATGGGCAAGAGACCTGAACAGAGGCTTCTCTGAAGAAGATAGGCACATAGTCTATAGACACATGAAAAAAATGCTCTTCATCTTTAATCATCTGAGGCAAATCAAAACCACTTTGAGATACCATCTAACTCCAGTAAGAGTAGCCCACAGAATAAAATCCCCAAACTACAGATGTTGGGGTGGATGTGGAGAAAAGGGAACACTTCTCCACTGCTGGTGGGAATGCAAGCCAATACGTTGCTTTTGGAAAGAGGTTTGGAGAATACTCAGGGATCTAAAAATTGACCTGTCATTGGATCCTGCAATTCCTCTCCTAGGAGTATATCCAAAAGACCAAAAATCACTTTGCAAAAAAGATATTTGCACCATATTATTCATTGCAGCTCAATTTGTAATAGCCAAGTCATGGAAGAAGCCCAAGTAACTATTGACCCATGAATGGATTAAGAAATTGTGGTATATGTATACCATGGAATACTATGCAGCCTTTAAAAATGGAGACTTTACCTCTTTTATGTTCACATGGAGGGACCTAGAACATATTCTCCTGAGTAAAGTATCTCAAGAATGGAGGAAAAAGTATCCAATGTACTCAGTACTTCTATGAAACCAACTTATATTTACTCACACTTTCTTATGAAAGATAGATCACAACTATAGCCCAGGATGAAGGAGAGAAATAAAGTGGGAAGGGAAGGGAAGGGAGGGGAGGGGAGAGGTTTGAGAGGGAGAGTAAATGGCAGGACCACACCTATGGAGCATATTGCAAGGGTACAAGTCATAAATGTCCTTAACACGATAATCAAGTAAGTGAGGCAAAAGCTATACTAATTAGTTTGATGTAAGCACGTCAAATTGTATTAAAAAACCCCACATGCACATAAATGTATTATTCATGATCTATGTGTATATGACTTAATAAAAAAATAAAAAGTAAAAATGAAACTTAGCAAGGATAAAGAGCAAAGTAGGAAAAAGAAATGACTATAAAAACATGAGCAATGCTGAGTTGACTGTTCATTATCTTAATATTTGAGGTAGATTTCTTTTAGGTATGAGCAAGGCTTGCAGCAAATTTGAAGTCTTTTGGTGAGCTTCTGTTTGGAGTGACATTGTTTTGATAGAAGGCTATCAGCAATTGAAGGACATTTTCTTTTTTTTTGAGACGGAGCCTCAAGCTGTCCCCCTGGGTAGAGTGCTGTGGCACCACAGCTCACAGCAACCTCCAACTCCTGGGCTCAAGCGAGCCTCCTGCCTCCGCCTCCCAAGTAGCCGGGACCACAGGCGCCCGCCACAACGCCCAGCCATTCTTCGGTTGCAGCTGTCATTGTTGTTTGGCGGGTCCGGGCTGGGGACTCGAACCCGCCACCCCAGGCGCACGTGGCTGGCGCCCTAGCCGGCTGAGCCACAGGCGCCGAGCCGAAGGACATTTTCTGAAAATAAAAAGCATCCACATCTACACTGGAAAATTTGTACAGTATTTTTGGCATATAAAACAGTGGTTAAACTATTTTTTACTTTGTTCTTTTAGTTATATTCTTATATCCCTTTTTCATCAATTTATAGTTATATCTCAAGATATGAATTTTATTTTTATTCTCAATATATTGTATAAGCGTCTGACTTTTAGGTTTTATATTCTGGTAATATCATACTTATATAATCCCTTAATATATATCTCCCCTATTTTTAATCTTATTTGCATTGATGGGAAATAAAATAAGTTATGATAACATAGAATTTAGTGTTCAGCTATTGACATCTATGGAAATCATCTGGCTAATAGGAACTAAACCATCCATTTTTTCCACATTACATCGTTTATTTATAAATCTTTTGAGTTTTTCACTGTATATCCCATACTATGTTTCTTTTTAACCTACTGTGAGTCAGTAATGACCTCTTTGGCAATAAAGGCAAGTTTGTTTGTTTGTTTGTTTCCCTAAGCCTGAAGTAAGTATATTTTCTTGCTTGCTTCTTAATAAGAGTCTAGTGGTATTCCATGCATCTGTCCTAAACAATATCTGCCAGTAAATGGTCCTGCTGGCAAGTTCCCTGCTTGTAGAATGTCTCTAGTGATCAGATATCCTTGATGGAGCAATTGCAAAGGCTGAGAAAATGTTACATTATAGATTACATTGCCCTCAATGCCACATTTTCTCAGGCTTTATAAATTCAGGAAAAATGTTTTTAGATCTTCCCAAATATAACAAAATGAGAAATAAGTGAATATAGCTGTTATTTTCCAGTTTCTTCTACTTCCTATAATCCCCCAAAGGTAATGTTTTTGACCCCAGGCTAATAAGACCCATATCTTTCCTGTAGTAAAAGAGAGGTCTCTTTTTATCCTACCCTATGTAATTCCTCAGTGGCATCCATTTTCAGGAAGGCTGAGTAAAAATAAATTAAATGACCTGTTCAAAGTTGGACCCCACATTACTTCAGCTTGTGCTAATGGGGTCAAATAGGCATAGTTTTTCAAACTTGCTCTCATGTTGTCTATATACTTTAGCTGAATTCTGGTCTTCTGGCTCAGTATAATGCAAGATTATAACATTTTAGAATTTCAGTGCTAGGAAAGCCTATTCCCAGTTATTCTTGCTGTAAACAGTGTAAACAAAAATAACTTTGTTCCACAGATTTCCACTGTGTAGTATTTCTACATCAGTATACTTGTTAACTACATGAGAAACTGAGCTTTCTGGTAGATTTTATTTACCAAAGTACTTGCTGCTACAAGCATGATGAATGGACTTTACTCTAGAGTAACTTAATAGTAAAAATAGTTTGGTAATAGTAAAATAGTAATCTGTGAAGAACGTTCATTGGTAGTTACTTTCTTTTGTTTATAAAGAAAGAAACATCAAAACTTTGTGTTTTGTCCAATGTATCTTAATTTTGCTTCTCATGGTAGAATGTCTGATTTTCCTTGTGTCTCCTGTGGTTATGTTGCAGCCTCACTTAGGCAGTAGATTTTATTGAACCAGTTATTTATTTATAAAGGCTTTAATTTTGTCTATATTTTCAGCATTTCCCAAATTGTACCCCATAATATGTTAATAGACTGGGTTAAATAAACTGGAAAGATTTTTCTTACTGCAGAATAAGTCATTTTTATTACTAGTATATGTAACATCAATATGTTTGATTATTCTGTGATACTGATTTCTCATGGTATGCTGTTTTATCCTTTATTGTTGGTAAAATAGCAGTCTTATTTTCATGGAATCATACAAATCAGTAGATACTTAAGTTAGTTAAGGAATGCCTCAGTATGAGGTCATCCACATCTGATTTTAATCAATTATTTGAAACTGTTTTTTCCCTTAAATTATTTATCTTTAGAAAATATATCAATTGGCATTTTTGTAGGATTAGGAATAAACTGAGAAAACTTTAAACTCTTTCTGGTTGTAGTCTATCCATGAAACAATCATCAATGGGCTATTTTCAACATAGTATATAGTCCAAATGTCCAAATTGTAAGAAGGTTCAAATCAGCTAGAAAAGTTTTGAGATCATTATGAGGTCAAGAATTTGGAGTTCTGGGTGCTGATTCCTAAACTGAGGGAGATAATTTAAGAAAGAAACATAAAGAGAAGCTTATTTTGAAAGATTGAGAGAGAGATTATGTAAAAGATAGTGACATATTTATATTTTCCTTTAAAGCTTTGAAGAGTTCCTTCTTGGGTGAAACTTATTGGTAATAAACCTACAATGAGGTACTTATTTTAAGAAAAACCCTATGTTTTTAGGTAAAATTAGAATAGGGAGAAACTTTTAATCGAAAGTCCCTTGATAATTATAGTCCCTTTCAAAATCACTATTAAGTGCTGCCATTTACCACAGTAGGCTTCTTTAATTCAAGTTGCTTTTATTTAGGTATCAGCATTCAAGATGCTAAGAGGACTCTGAAAATTGTGCTTACATTTATCTTCAGTGTTAAAAAATATATATTTTCTGTTTTATGATGTTTATTAAGTATTATTGCTCTGGTTTTTGTTTTATTTTATTTTGGTGGTAGGCTAAATATTACTGGAATCTACTTCAACCATTATAGTGTACTTTCTTTGGAGATTAGCCTGTCTTACAACTTTCAGAACATATGTGAAGACTGCCTCGCCTGGTTAATAAGATTGTGCTTTTGGCTCAGTTTGACATTTACTATTTAATTAGTGTTTAGTAGGTGGGCTATTGACTACTATTTCGTTTTAAAAAGAAATCCACCTGTGCAGGTGGATGTATAAACAGAAGTAGAAAAGTAGTCCAGGATATTGTAGGTAAGAAATCATGGATTTCAGCAGGAAAAACATACTTATGCACTGATAATAAAAATTGATCCCATCGCCTGGAAAGAGATTATGCAATGTTTTGGCAGGCCCTCCCCTTCCTTTTTTCCTCTCCCTTTATAGAACTGAATATATCTGGCTATCCGATTTGGTTGCCAGACTAAATCAGCTTATAATGATCTGACACTATAATATTTGAAGTTCTCTAACTTGATTTGTTTTGACATATACATAGGGGGGAGGGGAGAATATGGTAAGTAGTCACACCTTAAATTTATGACCTTTTTGGATTGGGTTATGCATTCCAGTTTGCCTGAGGATTGTCTGACTCTACATCTGTTACTTATGTGTAATTAGTGATTAACTGCCCCTTTTGCTCTCAGAAGTGTTTAGATGATGGATTTTTATGGCCACTTTATATTTTAATAAATGGTATTGGTTTACTTTAAATACTAGCCTCTAGAGTTAGCAGTGATAATAACTGTACACGAAACAGTTGTCTGGTTTTCCTCCTCCTCCCTGAAGTTTCTCCTTTGTGCTAATTTAACTTTACTATTACCTTTATTGATATAATCTATGCTGTCTCTTGGTGCCATTCTTAGACTTTGGGTTCAAATTGTGATATTGAATGAATGACTTGGGCACGGTGGTGGAAAGCAGAATTAGCAGGGTTCTTTGTGGCCTGATAGAAATGAGATTTCTGGGCAGTTCCACTTATTTGCAGTTTGTGAAGGAGCAAATTGAGGGTGAAAGGAAAAGAGAGATTGGGGGCTTGGGCAGTAAACAACCATTTAATTTAAAAAATAATTTTATTTAAATGTGTAAGTTTATTATGGGGCACGGTTGTATTTTGTGCTAACTTGATTAACTGCTATAAAATCCACTTTAAAAATTAAAGATTTAATATGAAATATATTAAATCCCAAGCAAATCTATCCTGATTCCAATTTTGTATATTCTAATATTTATCTGTTTGTTACTTTATGAATTCTATCCAATATATAAAATGATGAGAATAATGCTTATATGATTCATTATTTTAAGTCATTAATATTAATTTTTTTTTAGCCAAATTATTTATCACTTCCTTGGCCATGGGGAATTTTAAACCTGTATAGTGAAATGGAACCTATTTAAACTGAAAAGTAATTCTATGGCTTTTCTTTTATAGGTCATGTAATGTTTGCAGAAATAAAAATGGAGAATGGAAAGTCAAAAGGCTGTGGAACGGTCAGATTTGACTCCCCAGAATCAGCTGAAAAAGCTTGCAGAATAATGAATGGCATAAAAATCAGTGGCAGAGAAATTGATGTTCGCTTGGATCGTAATGCATAATTTCAAACCATGGTTGGAACATTCCTCCATCTGTTTTGCTGAATCTCCTAGTAGAAGTCATTTTTTAAGTAATACTGTATGCTTACAAAAGCTGTAAAAATGTACTTTTAAAACTCCCACCAGCTTTTAACAGTATAATGTTAAAAATATACTGTGATTTTTTGTTAATCTCAAGTTTGGGTTTTTAAAGACAGCAAGTCTGGTCATTCAGTTTAAATGAATGGTTATACTGTTTTTAATGAGATAAGCCATTTTCTTGTTGTTTTCAGTACTGCATAGTGAGATTTGTTCTAGTTTCTCCAGCTTTTATCAATTTATTATAAGGTAAAATGTAGGTGATTTTTTCAAAACTTTATGATATGTAATTGCTCATGAGAAGAAAGGGCTCAGACAAATTAGGATGTAATTTTGGTTGGTTTTGAATTACTCTTCTTTGCTGATAAAGAATTACTGTAAGTAAGTTTTAGATTCTGAAATTCAAGATTTTTTTTATTTAAAAGAAGAAACATTTCCTGTTTCCCTCCCTGACATTCACATTTTCCACATAACACTATTAATAATATCAACCTCCACAACCCCTTATTTTATTACTTCCAATAATTCCAAGTTCATACAGAATTGATAATGTAGCAAGCCCCACATATAATAGTAGGCATACTATTCCTAACTTTCTGTCTAGTTTCCAGCCATTGAAGTGAACTGCTAAGAAGAGAAATATAATTGAAATGTTGAGAGAGATGGTTATGTAAGTTAGTCCTCTGCTGTTCACTTCTATAGGAGCTGATGCGTTTACAAATGCAGTTTTAATAAACCACGGAACACCAAGACATAGCATATCAAACACATTGGATCCCACGATGTTAGACATAGCCATATCTCCTTTACCTACAAAAGAGAAGCATGTTGTTAAAATGTGCATACCAGTACTGTATTTTATTAATAGTCTTCATAAGGAAAAACACTGGATACTTGTTGGTTGGTTTTGGAACATTGTTATTCGAGCAGATGTCTTATTGAATTTATATTTTAAAATTTCTCTTGGGTTAGTATTTAAGTTTTAACATTTATTTAATGATGATTATCTTTATTTATTAAACCATTTTTCAATAAGGTATGTAGCTTGTTGCTTTTCATTCAGATTTAACATGGTTAATTAACTATGTAATGCACATTTCAGGTGACTATTTGGGGATTAGATTAAGTGAAATTAATCTATTAAATAGTAAACTTTTCCTCTTGAGTAACTTTTTTCCTCTTCAAAGTACATTACCAAGGAAGTAAATATTTTGAAAGCTGCCTTTACTCATTGGAATCCACCCAGGATTGAAGAATGGGCACTGCAGCTTGAGTGACCTAGTTCTTACCTTTCTTTGCAACCAGCACACTTGAAATTGTGTCTGGTATGCTTGTTCCTGCTGCTAATAAAGTAAGGCCCATTACTGTATCTGGAATTTCTAGTGTTTCTCCTGTAATAAACAGACGTTACAAGTTACAAATTTTACAGATTCATTAACCAGTCTTTACAGATACTTCCTCCCCGAACAAAAATAAAATAGGCACATTTAGATTTTAGAACCAATATGTATTTTACTTAGTTTTTAGCTAGCAAAATATTTGAATCAGGTTGGTAATTTGGGCAACCCATGTAGCACAGATTTTTAATTACAGATATTTAATAGTGAAAATTCTTCCAATGAGAACTCACTCCATTTGGTATTCTTATAGAAGTTGAAGATGTCTGCTTTTTATTTCTTTAGGGCTGTTGCTTAATATATGCTCATGAGACCAATCATTTTCTTTTCTGAAAATGTTTCCTTAAAAGTAGTCAGTTAAGCAAATTATTTATAGGTATCTTTAAGCTGTAAGTGTGTTAACATGTATATTTACATTTTTAAAGTTGTGCTTTAGTGATCTACCTTTCTTTAAATTTCTAGGAAAACAAAACCTGTTTTCTACTTGAGTCTTTCTAACGTTAATGGTCCTGATTTATTAATACTTATGTTAAATTTGATGTCAGTATAATATTTTTCAGAAATGTATTCGTTATGGGAAGCAGAACTAGAGGGAAGTTAAAAAAAAAGAGGATATTTAACTTTTTTTAATGTTGTAATTGAAAATTTGGTTTAGTATCTCTTTTTCTTCTTTTCTTAAAACACCAATTAAAAGAACTTCATTAGAAAGTTGCTTATTTATTGCATGCTTATATATTGATAGTCTAATTGGAATTGGTTGTTAATTTCTGTTACTGGCTTTGCTAGAGTTCATATATATATAAATACTAATATTTACATCTTGGTAGCTGTTCTGTGATCTATTACTTACTTTTGCTCTCTTAATTTTCTTTACTATGTATCAAATGTGTCTGGCTGAGAAAATTTGGGTAGATATAACATACAAGCTAATTCGACTTTTTGTCTTTCTTGTTTAAAAAAAACACAGTATTCCACTTTTTGCTATCTTATTATTCTGAGACTTATATTAATTTAGGAAAAGTCAAGGGTCAGCAGTTATGTGTGTGTTCACGTGTATGTGTATATGGCCAGGTAGTAATTACATAGCTTTTGTAAGCTATATGATCTCTGTTGCAGTTATTCAGCTCCACCAGAATAGTTTGAAAGCAGTTCATAGATAGTATGTAAATAAATGGGACTGACTATATTCAGTGAATATTTACTAATAAAATCAGACTGGGTGGTTTTGGCACACACAGTAGTTTGTTCACCTCTAACATCAGTCAATTCAGGTTGGGAGGAATTCCTGATTTTTTTTTTTTTTTTTTTTGGCTGGGGCCAGGTTTGAACCTGCC